ATGAGTTTCAAGCTACCAGGTCTGGGACTCGAACAGTGGGTGGCTGTGTGGGAGTCCAGTGACGTGACCACTACACCTCTGCTGGCCCCGCACAGCATACTTTTCTAACTGCTGGATCTGGGACTTGAATTGTGCAATCGCCCACGTGGGACCAGCTGCCTTAGCCACCATGCCACCGCTGACCCATCATTTGTTAATTAGCTGCACACGTGGTTCTGGAGTAATTGTTTTTGGTGTTTTTGTTTACTTCTTTTTTTTTTTTTTTTTTTGAGAGGTTTTTGCTATAGGGCGCATGCGCTCACCAGAAAGACAGAGAGACAGAGAGATAGAAAACGAAAAAATCACCCCCCGGGGGGATGGCCACACCACCATCCCTTCTCCTCCATTCTCCTCTTGGGATCTTGGGCACGCAAGCACACGCACCTGGCGTGAGTTTAAGCCACCGGGTCCGGGACTCAAACCGTGGTCAATTACATGGGAGTCCAGCGACATAGCCATTATACTAACTGATGGTCCCTGTTTACTTCTTTTATGAGGGAACGAGATGGAGAGAAACACACCGTAACAGGTCCCAGTGACGGGCTGCACCCCATCCCTGGCCAGCCCTGGATGGGGACAGGTGTGTGTCCCATACTCTGGGGGTGGGGCTCTGGGCGTGAACCGGAACCTCCCCACCTGGGACTGCCTTGGAGGGGGTCACGTTCTGACACCACTTCATCGTCTGGCCCCCACTCGGTTTCCCAATTTAAAACATAATGACAATTTAGAATTGAGATTATTGATAAAATTATTTGTTGAAGTTTGTCTCTGGGCTGACACCCATGGCACAGTGGGTAAATGCTGTGTGTGCGGACCCAGATCCCACATGGTCACGGTTTAAGTCATGGCTTGAAAACTATGCCAGACACATGCACGTGTGTGCCTAAACTCCGGGCCAGGTAACTAGGAGAGAGGATTGCAGGGTGCCCACCCCCACTGGGGGTCTCTCTCTTAATCTCTCTTCCTTGATCTCTGTGTGAATGCATGAGCCCTCCGGCAACAAATGAGTTTCTTTCTTCCACGAGACACAGGGACAGGTGCCCTAGCCGGGTCTCTCAGCTGTGACCCACCTCGGCTTCAGCCAGCACCAGCATCTCCATTTTAAAACAAGTGCACTTAAATCTGTCTCTGCGGGACCAGCAGTTGGCGTAATGGCTGTGTCGCTGGACTCCCATGTAGTTGACCGCAGTTCGAGTCCCGGACCCGTGGCTTAAACTCACGCCGGGCGCATGTGCATGCGTGCCCAAGATCCCGAGAGGAGAATGGAGGAGAAGGGATTGTGGCGTGGCCATCCCCCTGGGGGGTGATTTCTCGCTTTCTATCTCTCTGTCTCTCTCTTTCTGGTGAGTGCACGTACCCTATAGCAAAAACCTCTCCAAAAAAGAAAAAATAAATCTGTTTCTGTGTCACCACTGCAGGGAGAGACAGCCTCATGCAGGCCTGGGTCACAGTGTAGACCTCGCTGGTCTGTATTGTCCGGTTTCCTGTCACCCCTCCCTCGCCTAGACTGAGTTCCCCAAGGGCAGGACCACGCTTACCTGTGCAGCCCAGCACCAGGCCAGGCGCACACAGACTGGACATTCTGGGAATGAATGAGTGATGAGCCCTGGGTGGGTGAGGCACGCTGGGTGTGGGCGGGTGGGCTTGTACAGAGAGGGAGGTGGGATGCTGGAGGCAGGGCTGAGCGTGGTCCCAGCAGCCAGGGCTCGTCCCGTGCTGCCGGGGCCATGCAGCGGAGAGACCCCGCAGGTGTGTCAGGGAGTTCTCCCTGCAAGAGGAGGGGACTGAGGGCACTTCAGTGACTGTTTCAGGTGTGCGGGACGGGCAACTGGCAGGAAATAAGGTCTGGGCCAGGGCCGACAGGCTTTAGTGCCAAACTAAGAAGCTTAGGCAGTTAAGTCTTCTGTTAGTGTGCCCGTCTGGGGTCTGAGCTCCCCTTAGTTCACGTGGTAACTCCGTGTCCACACAGCCTCTCAGCAGGGCGTATCAGCTTCGCTACTTACAGCTGAGTGGTTTCCGAGAGGGAGTGACGCCCTAAGTCACACAGTGGGGCTGGAGTCTGGCCTGAGTCTGAGGACCAGCTGCTGCCTTTTCTCTTCCCCTTATGCTGTCCCGTGATAGCCGCTGTTGTCGGTGAGGTCACAGAGGACAGGGGTCTTGTGGGAGACATGATGGGAAGCTATGCCAGGCCTGGGCACCTGTGTCCAGCCTCCTCCACGCCCCGATGGAGACAGCCCCAGGGCCAGATGCCTGCCGGGTCACGCACATTAGCTGCGGGACCAGCAGGTGGCGTAATGTTACGGTTGTCGCTGGACTCCCACAGTCGACCATCGTCCGAGTCTCGGACCCAGTAACTTTAACACGCTGGCTCGTTTGTGTGTGTGCATGCCCAAAATCCTGAGAGAAGGGATTGTGGCGTGGCCATTCGCTGGGAGGTGATTTCTCGCTTTCTGTCTTTCTGTCTCTCTGGGGAGCATGCGTGCCCTAGGACAAAACTCTCTGAAAACAAACAAACAAAGAAGAGAACATCAGCTGTGTTCTAATCTTAGGGCCCCTCAGGCCGGGCAGAGGAATGGACAGTGGGAGCAGGGGACGGTGCTGAGGGTGGGGAGCAGCAGGAGACAAGCCTAGGCCTTTCTGCCCTAGCTCGGCAGACCATGGAAGACGGAAGGACTGGAGAAAGGATGTCACCAGGGCCAGCAGATGGTGTAGTGGTTATGTTGCTGGACTCCCATGTAGTTGGCTGTGGTTCAAGTCCCAGACCTGGTGGCTTGAGACTCACACCAGGCACATGTGCATACGTGCCCTAGATCCCGAGAGGAGAATGGAGGAGAAGGGATTGTGGCATTTTTTGCTTTCTGTCTCTCTGTCTCTCCAGTGAGCACACGCACCCAATAGCAAAAATCTCTCTTAAAAAACACAAAAGGAGAAATGTCACCGAGCTGTGTGTGCAAGGGGAGCCTGAGACCAGCAGGGAGTGACCTGCCAAGGGCACCGGGAATCAGAGGCAGGCTCTGCCAGAACCCACACCTCTTGACTCCCAGGCCAGTGCCAGCGGGGGTGGTGGTGTGATGGGGCCAAGATGGGACAGGTGGCAGGGCAGCTTACTCTGCCCCACCCTGCCTTGGGAAATCACTTCTCTCTCAGACTCACGCTCTCTCCTCAAAATGCGCTGAGGACCCAGCTCTGCCTCTCTGTGAGTGCCCAGAGTGAGACGAACTTGGGAAACCTCTTGCAGGCCCATGGGAGGCAGGCTGGCACCAGATGGGTAGGTCCCAGGGTGGCTGGGCTCCAACAGGCCCTGCCGTCCCTGCCGCCCACGCCTGCAGCTCGCTGGTCTGCCCAGGCCTCGCCATCTGTACCTCTGCCTCCAGCCTCCCTGCTGGGCAAAGGCTTCTGGGACCTTCTCACGTCATCCGTCTACCCTGTCCCCCCCAGGCAGGGTGCTGGTCACAATAACACACTCAGAAGTACAGGGAGGGAGGGAGGGAGCTGTAGGCAGTCCCCACCTGCAGACCCAGCAAGGGCCCTGGGACACCCCTACACTCTGTCTTACCGACTCGTCCCTGGCCGTGGCTCCCTCCACCCCCAGGCATGCCACCAGAGCTTCAAGCTGACACCACGCTCAGGCCCCTGGCAGATGGAGCAGCTCTGTCCCAGTCACCCTGCTAAAACTCCAGTGTCCCTGGGCTTGGGCGCGGGGAGGTCCTAGCCTGAATTCAGCACCGGGGCGCTGACTGCTTGGCTGGGCCTGTATTACCTGCCCACCCCAGAACTAGAGATGGGGCCAGCCCCACCCAAGCCATATAGACAGAGTGGCAGGACGTGGTTCTCCAAACAGGGCTGCACTGTCACTAGAGGGCGTTGGACAGCGAGCACAGTTTGGCTCCAGCACCCTCGCTCCTGTGTGTCAGCGGAAAGCTGGATCTAGGCGCTGCTGGGACGAGGCATTGGTGGACTCCGGTGTGTTCCAGTTACCTCCTGCTGCGTAACAAACACTCCCAAACTGAGTGGTTTCAGCAGCCGTTTTAGTAGCTGGGTCTGCCAGAGGCCTTCTGGGCTGAGCAGTGTCTCCGCTGGTGGGTTGGCAGGCGTCCGGATGAAGCAGATGGCTTCGCTGCATGTCTGGGAGCTGCCTGGCTGTCGGCAGGGGGCTTGGTCCTCCTCCATGTGGTCCCGTCCTCCAGCCGGTCGGCGTGGGCTCATTCACAAGGGGATCTCTGTTCCGTGAAGCACGTGGGTTAGCTATGTGTGGCTTTGTTTTCCTCTTACTTTTTTGTCCTTTATTTTTCCTTTCTGCTACAGGGCACACGCACTCGCCAGAGACAGAGCGAGAGGGAGAGTGGGAAAGCGCCTCAGAGGGAATGCCGCACGGCAGTCTCTTCTCCATCTCCTCTCGGGATGTCGGGGACGCATGCGCACACACCTGCCACTGGCATATTTTCAGGCTGCAGGGTTCTCCACTGGAGCCATGCAGTCGGCCACGTGGCGCCCAGTGCCTTAACTGCCACACCACCTGCTGGCCCCGCCACAAGCATCTGTCCAGCCTTTCTTTGCCTCGAGTCTGTCGAAGCCCTGTGGGCCAGAGCAGGCCACGTGCCGGCAGGGTTAGTGGGGAAAGGCAGTACCAAAGAGCGGACAGGAAGAGGGAGAATTTGAGGCCAAGCGCGCTGCTTACTGCACTTCCCTCGGGGAGGGGAGCAGCCTGCGGGCCCCCCGTGGGCGTCCTTGGAAGAGGCTGCTCAGGCTCAGGCACTTCCCTGGACCCTGGAGGGCTGTGGCCCAGCCTTGGCCAGGCCTGAGGAGGCCACTGGGATCCTGACCCCAGGGGATCATGCAGGACTGGCACAGGGAAGGTGTTCTGAACTCCGGCTTCTGTCTCCCCCGACACCCCTCACGGCGATCAGGCTGAGGGCCCCATAGACTTAGTCCCCACTCCCAGCCCCCTTTTGGTGCTGAAGGACAGGGTGGTTCAGAGACGGGGCCTCATTGCCATGGTAACTGGTGTGGCCCCTGCCAAAGTGGAGAAAGATCCCATCCTTACCTGGGGGGCGCCCTGGCCTCAGCCTGTCCTCTTCCACAGGTGGCTGCACTGGAGCGGCAGATCTTCGACTTCCTGGGCTACCAGTGGGCGCCCATCCTGGCCAACTTCCTGCACATCATGGCCGTCATCCTGGGCATCTTCGGCACCGTGCAGTACCGCCCCCGGTACCTCGTCCTGGTACGGCCTGCCCAGCCCCGTCCTGAGCCAGGTCCCCGGCCACGTCCTGAGCCAGGCCCTCCTTCCCTGCCCGCCCCACCCTCCCTGCTCCTCCGCCCAGCCCTGCCCCTGCCCCTGGACACCCGGACGTGAGGGCTTCCCACGCGCCGGCCACGCGCCGGCCACTGCCGAGTCACTGCTGCATCGCACCCTCACGGCCCGCGCCCGCAGGGAAGGCTCGCCTCTCCACTTTCTAGCCGGCTCAGAAGTTCCGAGTCTTCCCACGGCCACCCGGCGAGTACGGGCAGAGGCGGTGGCCCTGAGGGATGGCTGTGCCACCTACCATCATGCCTCAGTTACCTGGGGGGCAAGGGGGTGTGTGTGCTGTCTTGTGGGGCCTCTTGGGAGGCTCCTCCACAGCAGCCGATGCAGCTCTGGGCCAGAGCCTCCCTGTACCAGGCTGCCTCGCCCCCATTCCCTCCTTCCTCAGGGACCTCTCCCTAGGGAAAAGCTTTCCTGCCACCCTCTGCGCTTGAGCCTCAGTAACTGGCAGTGAGGCCCACCAGCTCGCCTCCCAGGGCCTCTCCCACCTCCCGCAGCCAGGCTGGGGCCTCACACAGCTGGCTCTCACCTGGCAGCGACCCCCCCATCCCCCACCCCCACTTCCT